AGATTTGAACTATGCTTAGTATGAAATAAATGTATTTTAAATATACTACTGGGGGAGATATAGAATAACAAATGATATTTACATGCATTTTGTGTAAGTAGTCGATCTCAGGATTTACATTACAAGCTATTAGATTTTCATCTTACTTTTTGGCCATTTAAATATCAGCAACTTCACCAAACTGCATATTTTTGCTCAGTCTGAGCCTCTGGTGTGTTTTTTACTTCTTAGGGATGAGCTCCATATTCTCATTATATAAAAGCCTGATGTATCAAATATTATACTCAACAAAAACCTTTTAAAAATATTTTGTCTAAAGGTCCAGTAGATTTTTCTGACTATCATTTGATATGTCAGGGTTAAATATTACATGTTTTCAATGTGCATTTGTGCATTTTCATTCTGGTTATCCAGTTTAATTATTATGTTGTTGATCATTATGCAATTGTTGTTTTTTTTCAGTTGTGACTGTGTGTTTAGTACCTGAAATGACGATGCATGTGTCTTTGGCTCGTCTCTTCATGGCTTTATAAGCAGCGTCTGCGACAGCATACAGGTGAGGTGGATTCTCATACAGTTCTCTTCCCCTGTAGTCCTCAATGACCTCCTTCCCATAGATATCCAAATGTCTGTACGGATTGACTGACACCACTACTTCTCCAATGAAAGTGTAAATACGGGCTTTCTCAAACCTGGAAACAACAAACAATACTGTGAATGATATGCATGTCAAGCTGAACAGCAGAAACATCTTTAACAAGACTCATTGTTTTCATCGTATGTGCTGGTTTGGTTTAGTTCCTGATGAATCGAGAGACACAAAGAACAACTGATGGATGCATTGAGTATTACTGTAAGGTGAGGTGGGATCATTAATCATACTTAGAGGTTTAAGATGAAGTTACAGATAGGAATACATCCTCAATTTGTTCAACATTAATATAATAAAACATCATACACGACATCCCTTTTTTACACATGTTAATCTATCAAATATCAGAATACAATTGGAGATTCATTTCAATTTAAACAAGGGGAAACAAGTGTCATAACTTGACGTTAATCTAGGTATTATGTGCCACAGTATGTTTCTCAATGTCACACGCCTGTATTCAGCAGGAAGTGATACAGGGCTGGGAAGTGAGAACAGGAAGTGTCATGGGGCTCAAGATGACTCACTTTCTGAATTTCAATCAACATGAAATATAGTGTAATCTTAGTTAAGCAAACATATCCACTAACACGCTATCTCTTCCTGCCGTACAGCTAAAATACATAGACATCTGTGCGAAGTTACATGCATTAGTCATTGTAGACGATAAATTCTTTATACTCTTTCAAAACAAGCACTTTCACTTTAATGTCGACATAATTCAAATAATAAGTAGTAGTAATATTTAAGGATTCAGTTTGTAGGATGTCTTCCTTCAGCAAATCATGAACTTTGCTGTGTTTTTATGTGTGAATGTGCGGTACAGTCACATGAGGCCTAGTCATACCTCAGCTGATAAAATGCACAGAATGGACAAGAACTGAACTCATTTTTTATGAGGTTTCAGAGGCCTAAGAATCTGTGACGGACAAAACAAGTGTGCAGTGAAAAAAGAGTCTTGTGAAAAGGTCATCTGATGCAACCCGTTTTAACTTGAGTGCAAATGCTGAATGTTAAAGGAAAGGAGAACTAGAAACTTGTGATTTCATCATCAGAAGATCCTACTGGCTGGCTATGATCAGCTGTTGTAAGATATGATAAGATGCCATTTTTGGACTCTTAAGCTGTTGATGTCAGCCACTTAAATTGATATTTCAGCTATGAGCGGGAAAGTCAAAAGCGAAATGACACATTCTTTCCCCTCCACTTTTGTCTTCTAAAAATGTGTAATTTTCTCGTCACGGCATTGTCTACCAAGAAGGGAGTGGTCAAAATCAAAAAGGCACTAAAAAACATAAAACTAGACTTAAATACTTTGAAAGTGAAACAGATTTCACAAGCAAGTTCTACAGATAAAACAGATTTTATCAAAGCACTGAGTAACATTTTTGAAGGCCATGTTTACTGCCGTCTTGTCAGGTTCTTTATAATACACAATGTCCATTGAATCTTCTAACACAAGAACACTTTAGTGTAAAATGTTCACTCTTACCTTAACTTCAAGTTCTCCATAAACTGCTCCATGGTCACCTCGTCTAGAAGCACAAAGTCTGACTTTCCAAACTCCAAGCCCTCCAGCTCCGCCATCCCTGCAGGAGTCTATCTGAAGGCCAAATGGATGGAGAGAAAAGTGGAAGGTGACGAGATAGACCTAGAACCCCAGCACTGACTGCCGTCCTCTCAAAGCTGGTAGAGGAGACGAATGTGGAGTGGGTGTGGCCTACATTTTGGTCGTTGCATGATCTGAGGCTGTGCTGAGTGAAGTCAGTGATGACTGCGGTCTGCAGGCT